TTATTGCAGGAGTCAGCCCGAGGTTCTGGACAAGAGGCTAACTGGTACGATCTTCTACCACGGGCATGCTACATTTGTAATAATATAACGAGGCCATCATTGAGCAGTGGGTACTTCAGCTCCGACTTACACTTCGTGTATGGTCGGGCATTACCGGCTAGCTTATCAACTATGCGTCAGCTGAGTGAGCCTGCTAAGGTTGCATTAGCGGACAATCTACCCCTGCGCATTCCGACCACTCGTGAGTTGGATGCAATGATCTTATCGTTCACTCAGCGTATTTCTGATGATAGCGTTTATGTTGCTATGGAAGCCGAGAATCTCGACTCTATGATGAGATCTCGCAGTTCTTATGCTGGTCAAAGCATAGCTAGAGCCTCATTCAGTCTCAAACCAGGTGATCAGGTTGTGCGTTACAATCATGGTCGCAATAAGCTAGATAGACGTTGGATTGAGGATGTAATTTATACTGTAGTTAGTATCAATGGAGTGATCGCTGGTATCACTCATACTGTTGGTCAAGTTAGATTTGATTACATCGGTAACCTGAAGAAGGTTAACGCAGCAGTTGATGTTGTTGATCAGTAGTCATTGATATTCTTCTTCATTTTTGCTATCTTTTGAAGTAATATGTGGCTTCGGCCGCCCGGGGAGTGTTGCTGATCGGACACTCAATCTTGCTATCTTACTTCCTCTCGTTCTTTCATAAGTAGCTGACATAGCTATATACAGTTGGTTCTACCATCTGCGTAGTATACACCCTCGTCAGCAGCCGATCGTATCTTGCGTTCTGCGAGTACGTTGTCTCTCATCCCTGATCTGCAACATTTCTTTCACTTGTTTATGCGTACATCATGACAGATAGTTGATTTCGTAGCGGCAAATAGCTGCAAGTAGGATAAATGGTGAGAGTCAGAGTTTTTCTACTTCATTGAGACCATCATGGCATCGAGTTCCGCAGTCAGGAGAGCGCAAATTCCAATATCTGGCTCCGATGCGGGGACCCTGCCCCACCTGGTCGATGCAATCACTTTCACTGCTGGATCTCCCCGTCCTCTCTTCGACGATTCTACTGCTTCTGACGACGCTGCTAACATAATCCTGGCTGTTGTTGAGGGAGCCCTCACCACGAGCATCTTGCCCGACCTGCAAACATGTGCTGACGCGCTTTCAGTAGCGCTAGTGGAGAGGCAGTGGGGCACGCTAAGCGACGAGGAGAAGGACAACATCACGGGGGTGGTTGGTGATC